AAATATACCTCCATTTCCTAGACAAGATACTCACCCTTGCAGCATCTCGAACCGGCATGTAATCTAAAATAAGATCAATAATCTCAATTGGCAGGTTGCTTATTCTATCTTCCATGTCTTCACTCACCTTCATGCATTTACTCATACAGTTCTTCATTCCTCTGATAATGTAACACAAAGATAACAAAAAAGGAAATCATCAAGAATACGTTAAAATAAATTACTATTTAACTTCCATGGGTGTACTTTGTATAGATTTATGTGCTCCTTCTAGTTGTTGAAATAATTAAACTGCTTGGAAAATATAAGGGAAAAAAGATAATGAAAAACCACTCTAAGAACTTCCAGAGAAGGATAGCTAATAAAGTATTAAGCCCCCTTTCTAAGCCCTATTCTTTAGAACTCATTTTTCCCAAACTCATTTTCAACCACAGTAAAATAATTTTGCAACAAAACCCAGAACTTTTCCAGCACCACACATCCTCGAAAAAATCACTTACTAAAAAATCTACTCTCAAAAAATTGGATCAAACGGAGACTAAATACAACATATCAATTGGAGAAGAAAATTGGCCAACCCAACACTAGGAAGAAATTCAGGAACTTGGCATTACGGAACACTATAAAAAGAACGGGTTGCAGAAATGAATTGAACACAAAACGATACACGTAAATTGATAACGAGAAAATAAGAATTTGGAAATGCAAATCATACATTCATGAATAAGTGAAGAGTTTTAACACATTCCCAACTAGGTCAATAGAAATCACAATTATTTTTGGTTCAAAATCTTAAGAACAAGTTAAGTACCATATAATTTGTCTCCAATCTTCAGAAGATGCGAAGTATGTCGTGATCAAGAGAGACGTCTGCGTTCGTGGTGAACATTGGGGGAAAGCTCACTAAGCTCTAAAATATTGAAGAAGAACAGTATTGAATCTTGAAATATAGCCACGTAATAATTGGGTGGCAGATCGCAATGGCCTTGTGTAAAAAAAGGGTAAATTGCACAAAACGTTCATAATTTTTATTTTTTGACATTTTCACCCTTATCTTCCACATTTTTGCGCAAAAGGTCATTTTCAACCATTTTTTCAATAAAAGATGATTTTACCCTTCTATTCAAAAGAAACAAAAAGAAAAGAAAAGAAAGGAAAAAATAAACAATTAATTGCAATCATAATCCTAAAATTTTCAAAATATTACAAATAAGTCCTAAATTCTCTACCACCACCACTTTCACAACCCTATCAAGCCGTCACCTATAGATCCACATAGTACCACCTTTTGGCCACCACGCCCACCGAACTCCACCACCACTAGCCTCGCTTCACTTCCCCCCAACATTCTCTTCCACAGTATTGGTTACAAAATTTATCGAAAATAGCCACATTTGTAGCGTAAAATACCAAACTGTCATATACAACCCTTCATGGCAACCCGACTTTCGACGCCACCCACGGTTGCGCACCACCACCGACGGTTACCTCTCACCTCAGCGAACCTATACATGGCCTCGCATCAATCAAACCTGCCTCAAATCATTCTACTGTAATCTAGACATTCGATAGTGATGACGTCCATTTTACCAAACTATTCTCCTTCAATTCATGCATTCCACAACACTAAATCCCCAAATTGATATCAATCGAACCATCAATAAACTCAAATGACAATGAGTATGAATCTAATTGAACCAATTATCCCCAAATCGTTTCAATTTCTGGTCCAAAACTCTCCGCGGGCGCAATGCACGGAGAGAACTTTCTGACCAAAATTGGTGGGTCCTAAGTGCTCCAATATTGGGAAATGATGGTGGGGAAGTGAAGCGACGTTGGTGGTGGTGGAGTCTAGTCGGCTTGGTAGGTTGTGAAAGTGGTGGTGGTGGAGAATTTATGATTTCTTTGTAATTTTTTAAAAACTTAAAAGACTATAGTTGCAGTTGGTTATTCATCTTTTTTTCTTTTAATTTGAATAGGAAGGTAAAATCGTCTTTTATTGAAAAAAATGGATAAAAATAACATTTTGCACAATGAAAGATGGAAGGTAGGGGTGAACATACCAAAAAATGAAAGGTATGAACGTTTTGTGCTATTTACCCTTTTAAAAAATTACTTATTTTACAAGTAATTTTAAAATAACTGTGATACCAATTGATATGAACTTCGTTACAAGATATAACTTGGAACCCACACAAGATTTTATACGAACCCAAAAAAATTAAAATCAAATGAAAATTTTTGATCCAGTGTTTTTTTTTGAATTAAGGACCAAGGCTAGAAGGATTGAGCATCACAAAGATTAAAAATCTTTGATAAGTTCTGAATATTTCAATTAAAAACAGTGTGTTGTGATTGTTTGAAAAATTATATGCTTTTTTATAAGCGGACTAAAAATTCTAATTAATTTGCATGAAAACTAGACAAACTTGATTAAATAGAGTTCAAATCAAACTGAAAAACAAAATTTCGGAACAAATTGTCACATAAAATGACTACGATAGCCCCTGATTATGGATAACATTATTCAAAAAGTAATTATAATTTTGAGCTTGCGTAGCACCATTGATATACATAATTTTGTATTGTAAATTTATTATTTATAACTATTATGTCTTAACTTAGTAACTTATTCTAAAAACTATTTTTCATTAGTTTAAATTATATTTTACTCTAATATGCTCTGAACCTCATCAGTTGATAACATGTTATAGTAGTGTAATTTTAATTTTCATATTCTATTTTTAGAAAATAGATTTTGTGAAAAATGATTTTTTTGAGTCTATTTACGAATGAACGAAAAAATTATTCCAAATATTTATTCTTCTTAGACCGGGCCAACGTAGCCCTGTCCATAAGGGAGCGATGTGGCGTCCCCCTATTGGCTAGTTGTCGTGGCCTTGCCCATATAACGGAGTTCTAAAATTTAAAATAATGAACACGTTTGAAATTATTTTATTATTAATTCAGTAACTACTAAAAGCAATATACTTGACACAAGAATAATAGATATATTCACTTTTAAGTACAAAGCAGAATACATGGAAGAATTAACAATATAAATTATATAATAACCATTTTGAAAAGCTAAATTATTTCAATAGACCTTGTAACATTTTTTTAGGTCTTCTCGGTAATTGAACTTTAAGCTAGCGAAACATGCTCGGGCAGGCTCCATGCTACCTACCATGTCCCAGCTACTGAAGTAACAAAGTTACCCTTAAAACCTTCATTCCCAACTAAACCTTGGAGGTAAAGGCTAATGGTCCGTTTGATTGTAAGGGTGGAAAATGGGTGGAAAGAAAATGAATTCTAGGAAAAGAAATTGTCTAAAAATTGTTTTGCTGGGAATTATTAATTAAGTGTGTTTGATTGGTATAATTTTTCACCTGAAAATTTTTTAAATTTTGTGTTCGTTTAGTTTAGTTTTATATGGAAATTATCCATTAAAGTGATAATATTTTCACAATTGGTTATAAAATTTGTTTCAATTATCAAAAAGTAAAAAAAAAAAAAAAATTAATTTTCTAAAAAATCATTTTTTTTAATCAAAATTTTGTGTTCGTTTGACTTCTTTTTATATGAAAATTGTCCATTAAAGAGAATTTTTTTTTACACTTGATTATGAAATTTGTTTCCATTACAAATTTCAATAAAAAAAAAAAGATGGAATATTCTTACTCCAAAGAGTTCATAATTTTTAAATCGTTCTTCTTTTACATATTATTTTTATTGACTTACTTAATATAGATTGATTTTTAAATATTAATGACAAGTGCAAAAAAATGTGAAAATAGGTTATAGGTCCAAGCAGGTAGTAAGTCTTAATTGACTGAATGGTTAGCTATTTCAACAGGATAGCGTGACTGTAATTAAATTTAAGGAAATTTTGGTTTAATATTTAGTTTTTCTTAAATTTATTCATTACCATATCAAAAAAATCGTGTATGATATGACAATATACTTACCATGTTTCAATGTTTAATTTATAGGTAAGTTTAATTCGAATCTTATGAATTGCTTTACCTAAGTAAATGAAGAAATTAAGAAACGAATTAATCCAAGTAGAGGTTGAGATTGAATACAATATTGAAGTGATAAAGTCAAGATCTGAAGGTTTGATTCCACTTCTGAGTTGTTCTTAGATTTCTTTTGATTGTTTTTGTTAATTTTGTGAAATTATAAAACTGAGACTATTCTATTTTTGTGGGACCCGTGAATGTTTCCCTTTGGGATTTACCACGTTACATTTGTTGTTCACATTTTATTATCTTAGTTAATTTTCGCAGTTGATTAAAATCACTTAAATCAATAAATTCTATTTACATGCTGCAGTCAGAATTGCTTAAAAACTGGTCATAGAATGTTCTGACTACCTAATGTGTACTGTTGGAATTGAATTATTTAAAACAATTTTTTAATTTACACACTTCAACAGCTAATTCTTACAAGTAGAATGCAAAAAAGTCATTCTTTCTATTGACATATGTACACACACAGCATGACTTATGTAACACTGAACAAGAATAATAATGTGCAATATGCAATATTTTCATTTCTTAGCACTGTTCAGTGTCGTCTAATCCACTCTGCTATCCTAACAAAGCAACGTTTTCACCATTTTTTTTGTTTTCACACAGCAGCAAAATCTTGACCAATCCAGAAAATAATGAAAAATGGAACCCAATTCACGCAGAAGTAAACTTTGCATCAAAATTTGAATGCTTTCTTATATTAGAAGCACTTAAACATTAAGAAAAAGTCAGAAGATCCTAAGGACCCCAGAAAGCTACAATACGTTCCAAAAAGTATACCCTCCATTGACAAACATGAGAACTATGATCCAATGCCTCAAAAATCACAGATTGGATGATCCGTGAACAGTATTTTTCCCGACCAGAAGGGTGTATTATAAAACATTCAGCAGGATCCGATAAGACACCAGCAAAGAGACAAGAGAAAGGAAGACCTGTATCTCGACTAATATTAGTTTTGAGTAATCATTTTCGGGAAAGAAAACCCTTAAACAAGAAAATTCCAAAACCGCCAATTGCCAACGATGTTAAGATAACGGAGATTTTGATTGGATCAATATCAACAATATCAGTTTTGTTATGTCGTCCACCATGATGTGACCTTTCACCCAAGTAGTCACGCAGAAGATTGCTAAGATTATCTAACTGATGCACGATTTGGCGTTGTCCCCGCACTACACCAGATATCTGTTAAGAATAGAGTGGTACATATCAGAACGAGAGGGATAAATCAGATAACAAAAGTCAGGTAACTCGGCCAATGAGAATATAAATATTGTTTGGCCCCCATTATAATGAGATTTTTGGAGATAATGTATTTTTGAATAGTAATTTTTGGGAGAATGTGTGGTTAAAAAATAAGGTAAATTTTTTTGATTTACGTGTAATATTATTTTATTGGAGAATTTATGGTCGAAAAGAGGATAGAAAAATGTATTAATATTTTAATGGGGGCCAAGCATGGACATACTTATGCATGATCAGTTACTATTCCGGTCTTCCTAGTCTCTGTTTGGGTAAAATGAGAAACAGATACACCAGGCAGTGAGAGTTGCAAGTTCCTATTCATCCATAGATAAATAAATAGAAAATGGTTCTTTTTTCCTTGTTCTCCGGTAATTCATAGGATACTCCAGTCGCTATTTTCACTGACATTAAGACATTTCTTTAATGTCAATCTTTATATATGTGAAATCACGAGTGGAGCTGCATTATCCTACGACCAATTAGATGCGTAACTGTAACTTCCATATGATGTTGTTTTAAATATTAACTCAACCGTCACTGAAAAGCTTGTATGATAATTTTAGCCTAAAAAAATTATACCATTGCTAGATAGTGCAAGAAAAAGAGAACATTTCAGAATAAACTAGAAATAATACCTCTTCCATCAAAGGAGATTCTTTGGCTAACTGGGACGAAGACGAGGAATTTGGCATGATGGATCCAGTTAAGGATCCATTCTCCAAACCAGATATGAAGTAAGAAGTTGGGACTGACCCATTACAGGCTTCAGCTTGTAAAGCTATGTTTTGTGAGCTGGGCGAAGTTCGCTTTGTAGTTAACTTTGAATTTAGTTCTTCAATGCGAGATGTGAAGTCATCCATCCGATCATTTAGTGTAGAAATGTGTTCCAACAGATGCGTGATGGCTCCCTATCACACATGCATGGAATGAGAGAGAAACAGACAGAAAGACAAGAATCTAGTATGGCATGGAAACTTCAGAAAAATCAACACTTAATGTCACCTGATTTCCTAATGTAGCTGGTGGCTCTGCCGTCCTATCATCAAACCTTCTGCTAATCCTGGTCAGGTTTTGGTCCCTATGTGTTGAATATGAATGTGACACACCACTGTTCAAAACAAATCAAGTCACAAACAAGTTTGAGATAGTGATAATTCCTCAACTGATAAACAAGGGATAAGTAACTAACAGCATAAAATCATACACACCTTGTAAAAAACAAAAGTTCTAGGGGTACCTCACCCCATGGAATTTGTAAAATCTTTCTAATAAACTAAAGGTCGGCTTCACGAGTCATGTTTTCCACTCTATTCAGTCCAGAGCTACTTCTACAATACTCTTACATTGAAACAATATTTTCTTTAACAAGATTGATAGAATATTGATTTCAGTTTTTGAATTTTTAATGTACTGAAACGGTAGTTAGTTTATTCAAAAACCAGGTGGATATCGTGAGCTGTAATGGAAAACTCAGTACGACCAACCAAAGGACACGCACGTAAGTTGTAAAGTCTAGAAGAAGTGCAACCCCAAGAGAGAATCTTAAAAGGTGTTCCAGCTTTCTATGCAGTGTAGATGCTTGTAGAAAGTGAACTCGTAGTAAGCAAGAGGGCCGGGAAGGATGGCCAGAAAGATTCCGAAGATGAATCTGGAAGACAGGAAACAGATCGCAATTTTTCTATAACTTTTAAGGAAGTAGCAATCTTTCCCAGAACAAGGAGAACAGTACAGCTGCAGCCAAAAAAATTTCACCACAAACATAGGTTGGGCCGTAAGAAATACTTAAACAGCAAATATCGATTAATCTTGTACCAAGGTACATTAGTATTGAACCTCAAACTATTCTGACAATAGCCCAACTCAGTGAAATGGCCCATGAATACTAGGTGTATTACAAGTCATATGGTAAGTGTATGATAGAAAGTAGAACCTTTTTGCAGTCTTAATTCTTGATGCCGCCCTTCCAACTGAAGCGGCTCGGCAAAGTGCTTCATTTGGGCTTGAGATAAGTTCATCATCTATGCTAAGCTTGGTTTTCAAATCATCCGGCAATGCCTGAAAATTTTTCAGATTAGGACTAATATGCAGATGATGGAATATGCAGATGCTGGGCTAGTTATCATACCATAACCTCATTTACGAGTTTCTCTATCTGTATTTGTTCAATATAAGTTCGTGGAACATATGAACCTTCCAATCCCAGCTGTTCAGCAACACATTTCACTACCAGGCGATCTCTGCCTTGTACCTGTCACGAACAAAGAATTTTTAACAACCTAGATCTTTAACTGACCACGTGACAAAACAAGCTACCTGAGTTGGACTAGATTAACTAATGAATAAAAAAGTCATCGTTCGAACAAATAAGTGCTAAACCATCAAATTATTAGCACTATGTATGTCCAATGCCACGTTTGAAAAATAAGGTGAGAACTAAGGATATTTCACATCAGGCTAAGGATTCTAACGTATTTCAACAGCAAGATACTACTCAAGGAGCTCAGTAAACATAGTATTCATAACAAAAAAATATCATTTTCCAAAAGAAATTCTCCATCTTGCATCACGCTAGTGTATTCTTTAAGACCACGGATATTCTTCTCCGACAACTTAACATGTAGATGGTAACTCAATAATAAACACAAAAAGATTGCTGAAAATATACATTATTAAATATTGAAAGCCACAGATAATCCGGTAACAATAATCTCCTAGTTACGTGATATAGATTGATATAAGCACTTATAAATGATATATTTACCAACAACTACACATCTTTATCACACACCAGGTAACCAAGTAATTGTCAAGTCCAGAAAAGATAGGGATTGTCCATAATTCAGAATGAAGAATAGGCACCAAAGGACATGGAGCATGTTTCGCCAAAAATGTTAATATAAGCACAGCTTAGATAAACATGCTCATAGTAGCAGAACTCGTAGGCATACGAAACTCCAGCCTCATTTAATTACTTAAACATCAGAAAGACTGACACTATGGACATAATAAACATGATTAAAAAGGCAGAGTAAAAATTTAGCATGTGAGATCTTAGCACATGGTAGCAAGGAGGGAAGAAGGATAGGTGTACACCTGAACATAATGACGCTTTAGCTGCTCCAGCCAATCAATTTTCACATGGACTCTTTCGTCACTAAAAACATGGCTACTTCTTTTCAGAATAGCTGCTATTGTATATCCCAAGGCCATCAGTCCTCCAAGAAGCCGTACACTAACTTCAAAAGTTATTCTTGGTGATATGACAAATGGAGGATCTGTGACCCATTCCTACAGTTCAAAAGCATAATAAATCTAAGTAAATAAGATGGTAATATTTCTTTCGACGTTTTGTTGGTCACTGAGCTTGTCAATATCCAATTGATACTATGAGATATGGACCACTTATAGTGGTTTCCCCATTTTCTGAGTAACTAAAATTTTCTGTGCATCAAAAGAGCCGTAGACGCTAGCATAAGCATAAAATCATGCATAAAAGAGAAACTTTATGTTTGAACATAACCAACAAAAATTCATACCAGAGAAAGTGGGAATTATAGACCCTGGATACACTAATTTTATTTTCACTTCCTCTGTAGAGAGTTTGGTTTCCATGAAAAGAAAATAGGAAAGACGAGTAAAGAAATAACACTATGCTTCTTTCTCTTAATAAGTGTTTGTTCATACTCACTCTCTATTTTCCAATAAAATCAAACTTATCTTCATACTTGTGCTGGCGTGGCAGAGTAAGAGGGATTTGAAATTTTGAGGTCAAAATGAGAAACTTGACCCTTATTTTGACAAAATAAAGTTTTGAATAATGATTTTTTTGGAGAATGTGTAGTTAAAAATTGGAGAAAAGTTTTGGGTTTACATGCAAAATATTTTATTGTGTAAATGTGTGGTTGAAAATGAGTATGAGAATTAAAGAGTTTTGAAATGTCAAACACTAGTAAGGTTTCACATGACTAAAAACCTTCAACACTAAGACTTTCATAAGACGAAAAGGCACAATGACAGGAGCAGAAGAAACAAAGGAAAAGAAGAGATGCATGATGATCTGACAGGGCATGGCTGCTAGGAGGCAGAAATCAAGTTTTCAATTTTCCTTAAACATCTCTAATGTGTTAATGACATGCTAATAATATTTGCTCTGCTACAATGTAATAGTACACAGTAAATTTTAGAAATCGAAACATGATGATGATACATTATAGGTGTCTTTAAGAAACAAAAATGGAATGACAAATATACTCAAAAGTGTGATAATTGTTGCAGTGCCAATGACTATGATATTACGAGCAGACCTCAAACATGAGATTGTATTTTCCATCCTTATTCCGCATCCTCAGATATGATTGACAGGTCTCTGGATCTTCTCCAGGTGGTAGAAGATATATGTCATAAGTCTGTTCTGTTGTTTCAGTATGTTCTTCAGACATGACAGACTTGATTTGATCCACAGTCACATCCCTTGAAGACTAGAAGAACATGATCCCACAGTTAATGTTATATTTCATTATCATCACACGAGCATGAACTAGCATCATAATGGAAGTAGAAATTATAGATAAAATAGTTACCTTCAATATATAAGTAGGACACTGGAATCCAGTGAATGGGTTAAATTTGTTGATGATTTTTATTTGTGCAGTACGGAGATCAGGCTCAATGAAAGCCTTGTACATCGGATACACCTGTGGAGGAGCCTAGCTGATAATTATGAAAGGAAATTATTTACTTGAGGCACATATTTAACCCGGACATTAGGAAACAAACCGTTTCAGATATTTGGTGAATTATTTCTTCGGGTTCCTGCCCAGCACGTTGTATATCCCGTAAAACCCGTTTTACAAGATCAAAGTGCACACCTCCTGTCACAGATACTCGAAGATCCAGTAAAGGACACAACTTTTCACTCAAAGCATAAATGCCCTCGATAATCACAATGCGGGAGCTTGGGACTTCAAGTGTCCTGTCATCATCACATGACATCATGAGGTCATACCGGGAAATGCTAGTGGAGATAAAGCACATAAGTGTAATCTACTTCAAAGACTTAATAAAGTGATAGTTCATTCCGTGAAGCAACACAATATGTATTAACTTCTAAAACAATAGCCTTTATAAATAAGAATTCTTGAGCACAACAAAGAAACACGGTGGAGAGATTAGATAGTCATGATAACCTACATCCATTTAAGTTAGTCAAGAATTTCTACATTAAATAAATCAACAGGAGTAACCTGGCATGATATACCAATCCAAGCAACTTTCTAAACTTATATACAAAATAACAGGAGCTGTTTTTATGGCACTCATGAGCTTGTGAAGTTAATATCCATCTGAACCATACAGGATATAAAACAAATTATTGAAATAAAAAACATAAGATTATTTAAACGAAAACTATTTTCCCTAAAACCTCAATCACATCACTCTGTCCTAAGAGCCTAAATGGCTTTCAAACAGACTGCATTATGAGAGCTTTCATAAGTGAGCTACAAAGAGGGGAACCTGTATCCTGTGCGAGAACTAGATTTGAAATCATATATGGGAACTTCAACCTGCTTCCCCGCTTTCAGATCTTGAATGTTCTTCAGCAAGGTATCATAGTCCGTCAAGCGTGGGTCTGTTTGATAAACATAGCAAGACTAATAATTATTCACATTCAGTGCAGAAAAATGGGGGATATTTTGCAGTATTATCTTTAGATTGAAACTGTAATTGTACATAAATCTTAGGATAAACCAGATCAAATGATTCTAGAACACAATTTTTGGGTTGGAGGCAGGGGTTGTGGTACAGTTAAGAGATAAATGCAAAATGTCATCAATTTTCATTAGTCTCAGATTAGAGATTAAAAAAACCATCAATATGTCAAATCCCAAAGAGAAGGTCATTTTTGTGGCTTCAGCAGTAATATGCTGTTGCCAATACCAGTTCTGAATTGGACATGGTCAATCAAACATTGTCTCCCAAACAGAGAGAGGAGCATGGAGTCAAGTAAATATTTTTATTTTGGATACAATTTAATTCACATATTTGACACCATTTCAATAACATGTTACATCTAGACATCAAGAAATTGCAGGCAGTACCATATTTGCTAACAAGCCAAGGTTTACTTCTTCCACGTCTACAAAGCTTTGTAATCTGACTTAGCATAAAACTCATATTAAGCCTTCAAATATCATAGCACGTTGTGCTCAAAGTACCGAGCTTTCACAAGTTATATTGATCAATCGATATTCTCTAAAACATACACACTCTATTTTAGAGGATAAACGCAAATAATTTAATCATCTCCATTCTCCAGTTCTATTTCTCCAAAGAAATATTATACATAAGACTTAAAGGGACACCTAAATTTCAAAATCAAAAATAAAAGGGAAAAGAAAACCTTCACTGGTAAAAGAGAACAATTATTTCTTGTTTACTAAGAGATTAAACAAGAATATTGGGATACAAAAAGAAGAAGCCTCCAACTTCAAATCAACTAACAACAAAAATGGCAACTTCTAAACAGCTAGAATGCAATAAGACAAGTCTTTGAGAAAAAGGAAATGAATAAATTGAATTACCATCATAATTTCCATCAATAATTCGACTAGCATCATTGTAATTGTCCATTGAGATGACAGCAATGCTTGGCATAAAACTGAGCATCTTCTCAGTAAATACAGTCTTCCCAGCACCAGACGGACCAGCTACACCTACTAATATCAGACCATCGTTCTTCTGTGACAACAACTGGCAAGCACGAACAACAACAAAAAAACCCTTCTCAAATGACAAATTATCAGGAATAGGGGCAATTTCATAACGATCTGAATCCTTTCTCTTGACCAATCGAACTTGATCTTTTAAGAGACCATGTCTTCTCTGAGTTGATTCAGAATTAGATGTATCTTGAGCCATTGAAATTGTGCTTGCTTCTCCTCAGAAAAAAAGGAAGGACATAATTTTGTAAGCCACATGAACCATGGCTATAAAGTAAAATAACAGCACCAAATAAAGACATTCAGCACCGAAGACGTGTTAATCATTTCTTGTCTCGTTAGAACTAGCATACGAAAGCTAAAGCACTCACATTTATTGTGATGTACTCTTTTTGTTTCCTTTCAAGTAATGCGGTTGGAATTCAATAATTTCTGCGCTCTGTAAACTACAATTATTTATCCCATAGCCGTCAAAGATGTAAAAGGGAAGTAGAATTACCGCAGAATTAACTTAAGCCTCACGTGGGGGTAACTTAAGCTTAGCTGCTGAATCTATCTATCAGTATGTCACAAAGAAATGGAGGTAAGCTTCCTTTGCACGACAACTTATATTAAATAGTCAGGCAACAACATGCTCAGCCTCAGCCCCTGTTTCGTTGAGATAAAAATCATATTTGTAGTAGATTTTGAAAAGGTTGATAGAATGTGGTTGAAAAGGTATGGTCTAATTAAAATTAATTGTTGACTTCGACTTATATTTTAATATAACTTTTTCGTTGAACCAAACAGGGGCAATATCACTAAATATGAGTTTAGCTCCAGAAGTAACCACTCAACAGACCTAGACAACCAAGAAGGTCGAATGAAAACAGAAAATTAGAAATTTCCCACAATAACACAATCTAAGTTATGATGGCATGCAAACTCCATATGGCTAACGTCCAAACAAGTTGATTCTGTAATAAATCAGTCTCCACTGGCCGAAATTGGACATTGTTTTGACTAAACTATTCCAGTTGCCAAGCCTTTTAGGTGATATCAATCCACGATCCAATACTAGTGCTGAATAGCATCGAGAAACGGAAATGGTCATTTAAAAAGCTATGATGTTTATTGTCAATTCATACACAATTTAAAACAGTTTCAGAAAACATATTTCACAATCAATATATTGCAGCAACAAGAATTAATCAAAATAACTCCTACATTGCACCACTGCATCAATGGATGATCTCCATCATATAACTATTCAAGAGAACCAAGAAAAAAAGAACACATCCACATGAAATATAAAATAAAATTACTATAAAATCAGTTCTGAGCCAAGAAAAGTTACAAAACTGAAGCAAAAACCACGTCCATTGGATCTACAAACTAATGCTACCGACTTGCAACAGAAAATAAAGAAAACAATGTCACAGAAAAAAAAATGTAAAAATGCCATACCAATGCCGAGAAAATAAAAGATCAGCAAAAAAGGAAGATTTTTGGACCAAACTATATGGAATTTTGTATATATATATATACTGACCTGGTCGTCCTGATGCTGTTTTCTTTATCAAGTGGGGTTCAGCAAAGGAACAGAAAAACGCAGAAGCTTTTGGGCTTTTATTTTGGGTTTCAGGCTTTTTTTTTCTTTTCCTTCTAGCTTTGTGTGTGATATAAATAAAGATTGCGGGGAAGTTGGGAGATGTGATTTTCTGGGGTTTTGGGAAGTGAGAATTCTTGAAATTTTGCCACGACTCTTTTGGAACAAGATTTAAAGAAGTTTGCTCAAAGGCGGAGATGTAAAAAAGGAAAAAAGGTTTTGCTTTTTTATTTATAGGTTTTAATTGTGTATTAATTTCTTTTCAATTACAGCATCATAATAATAATAATAACAACAATGATGATGATGAATCTTGCTACATGTACATTAAGATTTACATAGTGAATTAAATAATGTCACATGACACTTTATTATTTTTCAGTTTAAAAGACAATAAATTTTTTTTACTCAATCTTTTTCCTCCACACCATATTATATAATCAATTATGTACAATTTTTTTTTTGTACAAGAAACAAAATTCAATAATAATTAATAAGGGTTTATGAGAATCTTTTTTTTCCTTATTTATAAAGATTTTTTTTATTTTTCTTTTCAAGTGAAAATGAAAACCTTTATGTTTGGAATCCAACATAAAAGAACTTTATTGTTGAGTCCATATAGAGTTTCTAAATGGACATTGATTATGATGATGTATATTTTTATTTGTATAACATTCATTATAATTAATTTTTGCAAGATAATATATTTTTTAAAAAAGTTATATTTATTAAACACTTGTTTGGTAGAGATTTTGTAGAATATATTTTGTAAAAAATATTTTTTTTAGAACACGTGATAATTCTATTTGCACTAATTTTACGTAGGGGTGGCTCGTTTAGAACCAACCAAGCTTGGCTCAACCCTTTAGCTCGTGGGCTAAGATGAGTTTCGGCTCGCAAGCTCTTTTTTTTTTTTCAATAGATAAAATCATCATTTTTTATCTGGGATTGGATCGACAACTATTTAAAGCTCATCCGCCTTAACTTGATTGTACACGAATAACTTGTTACGTGTACAATTTTATAAAAAAAAGTTACAAACAATATTATAAAGTAATATTGTTAAATTAAATATCACTTACCTGACAATATGCAATTTCAGCATATTTATCTTGCAGTCGAAAATGAGCATCTTGTCAATCCTTCACACACATTAATACTTTCAAAATATATTCTTTCAGTCGGCCCTGACTTTGGACAGAATCCTCTTACTTACACTAAAAGCAAACTCTGAAATTACAGTGCTAATTAGATGTGTTAGTATGTCTTTTGCAATAGCAGAAATCACTGATCATCGTCGTTCGTACTTTCGCCATAATTCAATTATTTATTCTATACTTTTTTTAATCGTTTTATTATTATATATATTATGATTAAAATATTCAAGTGATTCAACAGACAATGCATTTGGACTTGCGTCCGATATTCGATTATGTGCAGTAGGCAAACCACTACTAGAGGAACCTACTGCATCATATCTATACGTATTAATGCCTTCAAATAAGTTTAATATTTCAGTGTCATCTTCTTCAATATCAGCGGGAGGAGTAGGTGCGAGGGTATCCACTATCCAACTAATATTTGCATTCATTCGTTCTGCATATAATTCATATATTTCACATAAAGTTTGTTTTAAATTTTTATAAGTAAAATGTGTATTGAAAGTTAAAACTTTTGAAATCTGATCAATTACATATTTGGTACCTGATAAATTGTATCGATGATCCATAATGCATGTTAAAGGAAATAACATGGGTAAGTCTTCTCAATATTTTCTAAACTTTAATTCCATGGAATACATAATTTCACTAAAATTGGAGTCATTTTTATATTTATGAAAAGCACTTGAAATTATATAAAGACGTTCAAGTACTATATAATTAATGAGATAGTACACTCGAGATAAAATGTTTGCAGTCATAAAAAGTTGTCAAAATTTTTTTAATTTTAAAATCTAAAAATCAATTATATTCTTTCAAAATAGTGTCATTATCGTTTCTAATATGCTTATTGTTATAAAATTCAGTTATGAAATGCTCAAATCATTCGCATGATTTTAATAATAAGTGGAATTGCATCTATACCCTATGTCACTAACAAATATTTTCGCATTTGTTACCCCATATTCGGCATAAAATTTCTCAGAGGCTCGCTTTCAACTATGTGAAATCGTGATATTTATATTTCATTATTAATATGTTTTAAACCATTATTCACAATTAAATTAAAAATATGACACACAACTAATATGAAATAAATAAACACTAAAATCGGGCTACAACACCCTACACAATTTATAGATAACTGCCTTATTAACATTAGCGTTGTCAAATGTAAAAGAACGAATTTTACTATTACAATAATATTCTCTAATAATGCTCATAATAACGTTGTATATTGTTAGCGTTGTGAGAGCTCAATAATTTTAAAAGCAATTTTTTTTAATGCATACACCAAAGTGAGTATATGTAGTGTGCAGTTGCAGCTATATAACTTCTTTTATTAGCCACTTCCCATAAATCAGAAGTTAAAGATATAACATCTTATATTTTTGTACATCGGTAATCAATTACTTCTTTGTATTAAGGAACTATTCTATTGTATCGGAATGAAGAGCGTTTCTACTTATCCCAACATACCTCGATTGAAGATATTTCCGAAGTTAAAGATATCACACCCCACATTTTTCTAAATCCGTAATAAATAGTTTCTTTGAATTAAGAAAATATTAAATTGTATCAGATTGAAGAGTATTTCGATTATCCCAACATACCTCGATTGAAGATATTCTTTCACGTAGGAAACAAAATGTTAGTTGTCCACTATTGCTAAAGGCAACTCAGCATCCGCAATGAATTTCACCATTTATGTTCAAGCTTTCTCTTTCGAATACATCCACGTGGAAAGCGTCGTAGAAGCAAAATTGGCGGTTGGACTACCAAATTGCAGTTGCGTTTGACTGGCAGCAAGAAGCACATGTTTGGCTGCACATGCTTTGCAGTGACGGTTAATGTGGGTGGTACCAATGCCCTTTGCCATACCAATCGCTATTGACAGTATTTACGTACTACTTTAGACTCTATGACTCCATCGACCACACGACCCGTAAGAATCAATTCAAAGTAATCCCAACATTTTGCATTTCTTCCCTTTCGCTTCCATGTTGCATCGAGAATATTTAATTCATGTTCCTCCTCCTGTTCCATTTCAGGAACATCAACGTCATTCAAATCAATTAAATTACTATTTCCATGCATCCAACTTTGGGATACTTTCGGGAATGGGTACTTCGTTAAGATCAGCAAATTCACTTTGAAATTGACGTTGAGCGTCATAGGTGATTCCCCTCGGATACCGAATAAGCCTTCAACAAATGAGTGAATCCATTTGTGAATTGTGATGAAATGTATAGAATTTGTATTGTAATTTGTATAATATAGACTGTATAGTAAGTAACTAAGTAAGTAAATAAAGAGTATGGAAATAAATCAAGAATTCAAATAAAGTTTATGTATTCTTGTAATTATAAATTTGTAGTGTGATAATTAATATTGAATAATTGAAATTGAAGATAGAAATGAATGTAGTATGTTGCAGAATGGGAAAGAGAG